TGTTAGAGAGTGCACATCCATTTAAAATTCCTAGGTAAGTATTTTGGATATGAGCAATCAAGTTAGAAACAAAACAAAAGGACAGTTCTTTAAATAAAAAGCTTGAAAGTCTAGTACTTGAAACTGTCCTAAGAAGAGATTTGTTTATTAATTTTGTTTTGTCTCAAAACATCTGTACTGATATTCATCACAGGCTTCCTTGTGCAGGATAGATTATTGATATTATTAAAAATTACCCTGCAAAAATAGAAATAAAAGGGGGAAACCTGAGATATTTGAAATGGCTTTGAAGCCTGTATATTTTTCTTATCTCATTGTCTTTAATATTGCTTTTTAAAACCAGAACTTGTTCGGGGTAGATGGGCTACATGCTATGGTCTATGGGAATTTTTTTCCCTTTTAAACACACAATTATTTTTGAGGGTTTTTTTTCCACACAGGGGCTTTAAAAATAATTTGTTTTCATTCTTTTTAGGCAGTACCTAATTGGTGAATACAGGTCCACTGCTATTACTTTCTGCATCATTATCATTATGTTTCCTGCATGATTTCCAATTTGATTTGTAAATCTACACAATTTTACGAATTCACTGCTGTCATGTGCCTAATTTCTTCTTGCATAACATATTGGCCTGTAGACACATGAAACTTCATCTGAGAGTGAAATATATGATAGTCACTGATGAAATAGATAGAAACATACTAACTGGTATGCCAAGTAGAAGTGAACTTTCTGAGTCTATAGCAATAGGTGGGGTTTTAATAGGGTTGTGCATTTTCTTCTGTGTTTAAGTGGTTTTCAAATCAAGTTAATTAGGTGCTTGTTTTATAGTGATACTATATTTAGGTAAAGGTAAAGGTTCCCCTTGACATTCTTAGTCCAGTCATGTCTGACTCTAGGGGGCAGTGCTCATCCCCGTTTCCAAGCCGTAGAGCCAGCGCTTGTCCGAAGACAGTTTCCGTGGTCACATGGTCAGTGTGACGAGGGAATGCCGTTTTACCTTCCCACCGTGGTGGTACCTATTTATCTACTTGCATTTTTGCATGCTTTCAAACTGCTAGGTTGGCAGGAGCTGAGCCAAGCGACAGGAGCTCACTTTGTCACATGGATTTGATCTTACGACTGCTGGCCTTCTGACCTTGCAGCACAGAGGCTGGCTGGGTAGCTTATCTATCTGGCTGCAGAGCCAGAGGTTAGGAGTTCAGATTCCCACTATGCATCCCAAAAGAGTCACCCTGTGTAGCCTTGAGCTAGCTGAACAGTCCCAGGACGACCTCAGAGGAAGAGACTGGTAAATCACCTCTGAGTACTCTCTACCTAGAAAACCATGGGAAAAATAGTCACCATAAATCAGAACTAAGTTGACAGCATAACATTAAATTATTTGTGGGCCTCTAGCTGAATCTGGAGTTTGGTTTGTTTGTTGTAAAATCACATTGTAAACCACCTTGGGTCTCACAAGGGAAGTGGTGAGATATAACTTAAGAATAAACAAATAAGTTTAAAACAAGCAAACAAGTAAAGAGTATTTCTTCAGAAGTGCTCATTTTGAAATGAAACTAAAACCTCAAGATTTTACAACTGCTGAATTCATAGCCATGTATCTAAATGTAAGGCAGTAGTTCCCAATCTTGGCTCCCCAGATGTTGTTGGACTACAACTCCCAGAATTCTTGAGAACTGGCCATGATGGCTGGGTCTTCTTGGAGTGGAAGTCTAACAATACCTAAGGACCCAAGGCTGAGAACCACACATGGAAGGTGTTATGGCCTATAAAAGGAGTGTCTTTCATACTCTCTTCCCCTGTGGTGAACATACTGGAAGGTACATTTTGGAAGGGGAGAAAGTACAGAGAAAGTGTATGGAGTGAGCTGACTTATTTATTAGTGAAGACTTGACTCAAACAGATTTGGCTTGGTTCCTGAAAACCTTGCTATTTTAAAATCCTGCCATTAAATTCCAAAGCCCAGTGATATGCTTAATCCAAACATCGTTGAACCAGCTCTAAAAAACATTTTAAGTCCTCGGTTCCAAAGATGCATCATATCTAAGGTTCATGAACAACTATGTACGGGCAGTTTTTTCCCTATGATAGGTGTACTTCTATCTGCATTTTCTCATCATGTTGTTGTTTAGTCGTTAAATCGTGTCCGACTCTTCGTGACCCCATGGATCAGAGCACGCCAGGCCCTCCTGTCTTCCACTGCTCCTGGAGTTTGGTCAAATTCATGTTGGTAGCTTCGGTGACACTGTCCAACCATCTTGTCTTCTGTCATCACTTTCTCCTCTTGCCCTCACACTTTCGCAACATCAGGGTCACCATATTTCTCACCATGTCTATGTATAAAAAATCTGAATAACAATAAAATTGATGTTCATTGTGATAGTGATTTATCAGAATGATTCCCTGTATCCATAAATGTACTACCAAGGACAACTAGCAGGACAAAATCCCTTTAAAGGCAATATCACTGATTGCTAGATATTCTGTGTCTTTGTTGCTTGTGGGTGTGCTTTGTCTTTTTCTTTCAACAAAACTCATGACAATTAATAATGGAAAGAACATAAGAGCTTATGGCTGCATCCTAAGACTGCTAGGAAGTTTTGTACAATATTCTTCAAACTAGTGTTTGTCATACATACATACATACATACATACATACATACATACATACATACATACATACATACATACATACATACATACATACATACATACATATCTCTCTCTTTGTGTATTACAAATGCAGTACTGTATTACACATTCCCTAATTTCTTATGGTGAAGTGAAATCAATGAGCACAATGTTGTGTTTAAACTGCTGAGACACCCAATACAGTATGTATTATTTTTCCTCATGGCTTTTGTTCTAATATTGTGAATTTCTTGCCTTGGCAGCTAACTTGCTTCAGAGCATGCAATGAGATTAACCTTTCCAGAATTAATTCTGCTATAGTCACATGATGCAGAAATACTTCATTGGCAACTCAAACATAAACAATCTGACTGGAGAAGCCAACTAGCCTCATCGGGAGTTTGCATGGGTCTCATTTAGGATTGCAAAAACAGAGAGGCTATAAAGCATCTAGAGAGCCATCAAGACTCTCAGTGGGGCAAGCAACTTGAGAGCTTCCAAATGTGGTTGAAATGCAGCTCTCTCATCCCTCCCCATGGGCTAGACTAGCTTGGATTGATGGATACTGAAGTCCAATAACATCTCAGGGTCTGCATGTTTCCCAGCCTGCTGTAAACCCTAAAGTAGTATAAAAACCTGTAGTAAAAATAAGTCCTTATCAGACACATGGGTCCTTGGGTATTGATGGAATTGTATTATTTAAATTTATTTCAAATATTTTTATCCCACCTGTCTCGTTAAAAATGACTTGGGTCCAAGCTATCTCAAGGACCATTTCTCCCTTTATGAGCTTGCCGGGGTATTAAGGTCATCAGGATACGCTTTTCTCTCAGTTCCACCACCTTCATAGGTGTATTTGGTGGGGAAACAGGAAAAAGATTTCTGTCACTGCTCCCAGATTCTGGAACTCCCTCCCACTGGAGGCCAGTCTGGCCCCATCTTTGCTGTCCTTCTACAAGCAGGCAAAGAAATTTCTCTTCAGGCAAGTTTTCTCTTAGTGACTGAGTGGAGTTTTTCAATGGATGGTTATGCCTTACTACTTTGAATGTTGCTTTTTGCTTACCTTTTTTTAGTGTGGTGTTTGATTCTTCTTAGTATGTGTACACTTACTGTTTTTGGCTTAAAATACTGTCTTTTAATAATGTAAGCTGTCTTGGGTCCTTTATAAGGAGAAAGGTTGGGTGAAAATATTTTAAACAAACATCTTCTGTCTTCTCATAATCCAACAAGTGTGAACTTCATTAGTAAATTCAGGCAGACAAATGGCTGAGAGAAGAATGAGGTGAGGGACTGTATTACCTACATTACCTATGAAGTTCTCATAAAGAATACAAGCAAAGAACCAGACACAGGTTTGTCTGGGATTTAGAAAGAAATTTGAAGAAAATGCACTTAAAAAACAAACAAAACTGCTTTCTGGTCCTTAATTAAACATAGGATTTCAATGAGCCAAGAAGGTTTCAGCCTCAGGACATAACCTAGGTCAGTTAAAGGGCATCCGACCAAATTCAAAGTGAGAAATCACACTGGATTTGTTTCCACTGGGTAGGACGATGATAATTCATTCAAGCAAAATAAAACAGATTCATGTGGCATTTTGGATCAACACATTTGTTATGCCATTATCTTTCTTAGAATGGAGTCCGCTGCATTGGATGGAAGTAATTATGATTATTATATGCATCTGACAAAGCAAACTATAGTCCACAAAATGTTATTTTATCTAAAATTAGTTTTTGCCACCATTAAGAGTGAATATAATAAATGTGCTAGTCTGTAAAGTACAATATGGTAACTTGTTTAGACCATTTGCCACCTCCCTTTCAAAGATGCAAAAACATGCACACAGGCACATATTGTATACATGTCTTTGGTACTATGTAGAGCAGTGTAGTACATTGAGATGACAAGGCAGAGCGTTGCATGGTTCATAGTCATTGACATACAAAACTTCGAAAAACATGGTGAGATAAGAAAAAAATAATAATTAGCCAAGGGAATCCAGTTTCAAGCATTGATCATAAACTCAGCTTCTTAGAGGTAAGACAGTTGATTTCAGTGACTGAACTTTTTTTTAAAAAATGAACATTTTGGCAAGAAGGAGGGCATATATAAATAAAATATTCAAATGGAATCAAACAAACTCTGTGTACATAGTCACTTGTAGCATTTTGGGATACTTGAGTTGCAGGCAACTTATCAGTTAGGTTCTGACATATTCATGTACGACAACCATAGATTTCTCACCAAAGATTCAACAAACGATTCACCAAAGATTCTTTGGCAAAGCCAAAGACAGACAGACAGACAGACAGAGACAGACAGACAGACAGACAGACAGACAGACAGACAGACACACACACACACACACACACACAGAGAGAGAGAGAGAGAGAGAGAGAGAGAGAGAGAGAGAGAGAGAGACATTATCCATACGATCAGTGGCATGAAACTGTCTACTGAAGCAAGCAATGCCTGAAAGAAGTTACACAAAGTTTCATATGCCATAGATTGTGGGTTGGATAAAGTGCAGCTCATGGGCCACATACACAGCCCTCCCTCATTAAAACGGACCCCACCACTCCTGGGTCCAACAAACAAAGCTCGAATATGCTCCCAATTTTATTTTTATTTTTTTTTAAGTTAAATAATTTGTTCAAAAAGTTCTCTTATCTCATTGTGGGCAATTTTACCATGTTTTGAGTTGCCCTCAAGGGGTACCAATATGCTCCCCAATTTAAAAAATAATAATTTGTGGCCACTACAGGGTGCCAGGGTCCCCCTCCTTGGGGGGAGGAGAACTTTTTCTGGTTAAACCCATTTTTTAAGTAACAAAAAGAATTGTAGCAAATGCTCAGTGCTTTAAATATTTGGCTACGGAGCTGGAGGTTGGAAGTTCAGTTCTCCACATGATGATCCATAGAGCCCCTTCTAGCTCTACAGTTCTAAGATTATTACTATAACATTTACAATACATTAGCAGTGTATTTAAACAAATCTAAAATATTTACAAATTAAATAAGTAAGTAAAGAAGCAGAACTCGCAGGTCGCCAGCAAATCTGAAAATGGCCCTCAGATCCACTGAAGTCATCCACCCCAAAGTAAAATATATATTAAATGGGGAAAATTCCAATTTTCAATTTAAATAGCAGTTATTGTTTTTTAATTAGAAAAGACACCAGTCAATGACTTCTTGATTCAGTTTTCTCTTTGAGTGGCACTTGATGGTTCTCAGATAGAATGATGAAAAAGTAGCTGATGTGCTGAATCCTCTGGATGAGGTCTCAGAATTTATGAAGACAATGAAAAAGGATAAAGATAGACAAAAGTGTCTCTATACATGGGTCACATTTCTAATTTGTCTTGATTTGGTTGGATAAGCAGTAGTTCTTGATGGAAGTACTTCATTATCTCTGTTATAAGGAACCTATAAATGTGTAAATATCATTATATTAATAACACATTTCTGAATTATATTTATCACGTGCAGTTCTGTTACAAAAACCTAAAGCACAATCTAGCTAAAAGCAAGTTGCAATAAATGCTGCATCCTTAAACAGAATTGCCAACCAGATGAGCATCACTGAATTCTGATAATTGCAAGTTAACATGCATAGAACTACCTCAAGGCCCCTGGAAACCAAGGTTAAAAATCCACTGTAAGTATTTCGCTGATCCCCAGGAAGTAGTCATGTTAGTCCATCTTGTCATATTGACAAAAGTAAAAGGTAACATGCAAAAAAAGGGGGGGAGGAATAAATATTGTAGAACTTTAAAGACTAATAGATTTACAAGAATCTCACCATCATGGAATAGAGAGGAGATGTATTCGTGCTCCTTCTATCTGAAGAAGGGAATGTTGATCTATAAAAACTCAGATTGTTAGTCTTTAAAGAGCAAAGAAATGTCTTTCCCCCTCTTTTCTTCTTCTCCTTTGCTGTTGTAAACTTAGCCAAGACTAAATTCAGCTGTTCAGAGATGAAAGAATTAAGCAACCAAACGACTGCTGGATAGCCCAATGTTTGAGGCTAGGAGTTCCGTTCCCCAATGTGCCTCCTTGAGAGGGGCTGGACTCAGTAATTCATAGGGCCAGTTCCAGCTCTGCAGTTCAAAGGTTAAAGGTTTACTTCCCAAAGATGAACACTGAAAATGCTGAAAGTTTTATTACTCTTAAATCGCATGATTTGCCACATGAGATAAATGTTATATATTCATAAAGTGGCATTCAACTGCTTGTTTATGCAAAATGGTTTTTTTTAAAAAACAGGTATTTCACGATTTAATATAAGTGGTTAAATTGTTCTGAACTCAGAGGCATAAACCTAGACCTCATTTCCCCTTTATTGCTAATGAAAAAATTGTGGAATTCATCTTTGTCCCATTGGAAGTAAAATCACTAGCTGGAAAAAGACCAGAGACCACACTGGGGAATTAGTAATTACAGCATTTCTCATCTTTCTGATCTGAGACTATTCCTGCATCATTGTTTTTCCTTGCTGTAAATTATGCTCACTTGCTTATAATGAATTTATTCAAACAAATTGTGGCCCTAGTGTATTTTATTTATTACGTACATATATTCATAACTCTAGAAAGACTCATAGATGGTTTTAAATAGATAAGAATAACTTTGCACATCTATTATATAAAGTATTATTCTCTAAAGAATATGTACAGCAAATATAAGGTCTCTTGGTATTGTGCATTTGTTCAACTTCTTAATAATATATCACATATATCAATTATTTAACAAGCTACCAAGGGAGGTATTAAGGAACAAACTGCCTCTACTGTCCATATATACAGCTGCCAGCCCCTCCTCTCCAAAAGCCCCTTAGAAGATCTAAAAAATTATTGGCTTGTTTTTGTTAGCCTATATGGAAGCTGGTATTTGAAGCTATGAGCAAAATCATATCAAATAGAGATTTCATGAAAGAGTACTACTTATTTGGCAGAAGAGAAACGATGGGCTTTGCACAGTCAAAGCTATGGTTTTTCCAGTACTGATGCATGGAAATGAGAGCTGGACCATAAAGAAGGATGATCACCAAAGATTTTGAATTGTGGTGCTGGAGAAGACTCTTGAGAGTCCCCTGGACTGCAAGGAGATCAAACCTATCAATTCTGAAGAAAATCAACCCTGAGTGCTCACTGGAAGGACAGATCCTGAAGCTGAGAATTCAGTACTTTAGCCATCTCATGAGAAGAGAAATCTCCCTGGAAAAGACCCTGATGTTGGGAAAGAGTGAAGGCAAGAGGAGAAGGAGATGACAGAGAACGAGATGGCTGGACAGTGTCACCAAAGCTACCAACATGAATTTGATCAAACTCCGGGTGGCAGTCGAAGACAGGAGGGCCTGGTATGCTCTGGTCCATGGGGTCATGAAGAGTCAGACATGACTTAATGACTAAACAACAAAAATAACTTCAAAACTCTGGTTCTAACTATCAAGAACATTTTGGACAGGTATATAAGAGTCAGACAGATGGTAGTCACAGAACAGAGTAAAATACTGGACACTACAAAGTATTTAAAAACCAAGGGTTATTACTCAAGAGTAAAATCACAAAGAACAGGATATTAAGACCCATCAAGATGTATGAGGCTTAAAAACTGTTTCAGATCATTCTGCTTTCTACATTTGTACCTGAATTTGGAGCCAAATGTCTCAGAAATGCAAGAGCTATGCAACCTTGTTCTTATGAGGAAATATGTCACCTTAACAAGTAGGAAGTTTGTGTGTGTGTGTGTGTGTGTACATGTTTGATTATTTAATGTTTATTCATCATCATTATTATCTCAGAATTGCAGAACTGGAAGGAACCCTATGGATCATCAAGTCCAGCTATCGTCAAAGAGGCACAGTGGGAAATCAAACTTCCAACCTCTACCTGGGGCCAGATCCTTAAATCTATTGACAAATGCAGAACGATCCCTTGTGCTCAAAGAACAACTAAGGAATATTTACTAACAGCTGGCAAAAGGATAAGGAATTTATGGCCCTCCAGGTCTGCTGACTTACAACTCCATAATCCCTGATTCTTAACCATGCTAGTTAGGTGGGATGGGCACCCATTATGTGGACAGCCACTAACTCCTTATTCTGCTCTATATCAACAATATTTATTGTATTTTACAAAATAAATTCAAGCATCAATTCCTCTTCCAAGAATGTAGCGAACAGTATATTGAGAAAACAACTTGGCAAAATTCTGAGCTGACTTTTAGACTGGGCCACCAGACATATTTCTTTCATCTCCAGTTTTTGTACAAAAGAAAAAAGGTGGCTATAAAACAGAAGTGAAGAAGATGCAGAGGCTGCTCCCAATCCCCAGATTTCTCCCACCAAACCGCACACTCCACACATGTACATGCATGTGCATTTAGGGGGCATGACTGACCATTTGGGGTCAATGCCACACGTTCACAGACTGATTTGAATTCCATAGGGGCCTTCCCTCCCCCCCAATTAAAAAAAAACAGAAGAAGGAATGAGTCATTATATGGGACCCATATTCTATTTTTTTAAAACTGGGGGTGGGTGGGTTTGGCAGAGGTTGTACGGTCCGAAATGGGGCCCTTGGAAATGTACAGGGCCTATGGGCTACCCTTTGCCCACACGTGATGTAAAAGAAGCCGATGATGAAACAGTGTGTGCATGTGTAAGTTCACCTCAAAGCTAACTGTCATGCCTGTAGCTTGGGTTTTGATACTGATCTTCAGCATGAGAGATGTGGATGTCATCCATTATAAGCATTCGATCTTTCCGTGCGATGTATGGTACCTGCTGCACATCTGTTCTTAGGAACAGAGTTCTGAACTTTTAATTTACCAGATGGCAGCTCCTTGGGCGTTAATGCTTCAGCAGTGAGAGGCAAATCAGAGCCCCTGTCGACTCTTATCAAATAAGCTGGGAAAATAAGAGTTGGTGCATTTGTCATGTGACCTTCTTATCTTTGCTAGCAGCGAAAGCTGTTGCTGATCACAGATATAAGGTGAGAGTCTTAAGCAGACAGATTTATAACTTCCTGACATGAATGAAGGCTTTTCACAGCTCCAAACAATTTAATCAGGTTTTCCTGTGGTTAAAAATCTCCTGTGCTTTGGTTGGCACTGAAGTCTTGAAATGAAGGGTGATGAAGCCCAAAGACTGACCCTTAGGGAATATGGAGACTTGTTAGTGTATTCAGTATGATAGAAGTGAAGTCAAGGGATCATATGATGCAAGATTGTAACCACTTGGCAGTACTACAGATGGGCTGGCATAAGCAGATCCCATAAGCATACCCATGTATGGCAAAGCTTAATTGTCTTGACAAATGAGAAGAGACGGCTGTTCTATTCCATGTGTTTTTTTGTACAAGCTTCCACACCTTCGATATGATTATGGTCATAAGGATGCTGCAGCATAAGGAAAATCTACTGCATAAGGGTCCCTGCCCTGCTCTGCTCTGCTGGGGTTGCCAATGGCCATGCCAGCATGGCCAACTTGAGTGACAGTTGCTCAAGGCCATCACAGAGTCACTTTACTCTAGCTCTTGCCTCGTGGCGCAGTGGTTAAACTGCTGAACTGCAGCCAAAACTGTGCTCACGACCTGGGATTCAATTCCAGGTGGCCGGCTCAAGGTTGACTCAGCCTTCTATCCTTCCAAGGTCGGTAAAATGAGTACCCAGGTTGCTGGGGGGGGGGAGGAAATGTGTAGCCTGCATAATTAACTTATAAACCGCCCAGAAAGTGCTTGAAGCACTAGGGGGCGGTATATAAGCAGCACGCTTTGTTTTGCTTTGCTCTTCTTCATGTGGTGAACAAAGGGGACAGCAACACTGGGCAGAGGCACTCAGCTGGCACAAGCAGCACACTTTGTTTTGCTTTGCTTTGCTCTTCTTCGTGTGGTGAACAAAGGGGACAGCAAAGCTGGGCAGAGGCACTCAGATGGCATTCTTAGAACCACCTTTGACTAGGGACAGATATTAGAGATAGACTGTGACTGGAACAGGGATATCCTTAATTTATGTGAACATCCGAGTTTCTAATCATGACTGTTTGTCATGTTCAGAATTATGAAGATTAGCTCGCTTTGCTTGATAATGATTTGTCTTCAGGACTTAAGTGGAAGATATTTTGAAATCTGATTTCTCGAAGCCTGAAATACTGACTCAGTCACCTCTCTGCAACATTATTGTGCTTTCAGCTCTAATTATGGGTTATCACTAATGATTCAGCTGGCTCTCATGGTTCCAGCCAAGGATAGTCTTTTTCACCCTCTTTTGCTTTCTGACTGTGGGGACAGTGATGAAGGAGTGAAATAACTGACTGGCATTCTTGAGGCTACAGCTAAAAGTTCCACAACTATCGCCCTTTTGTATTTGCAAAGCTTCAGGGAGGCTTGAAGGAGGACATGGGGCTACTCAGTTGCATTCTGTATGCTAGGTTAGGTTCATAGACTAGGACAAGGTTGGGTATGTGCAGCCAGTGGGTTACGAACTGCCCTCCAAGCTTCAATGTACCCCCCACTGCATGACCAGCCATCTCAAAAACAAATTTTTAGAGGCTTTCAGGAAAAGAGTTTTTCACATAAAGCATGTCATAGAGACTCTCCCAAACTCCCAAATAAGGACAATAAAACCAGAAGTGGATGCCTGAGCACTTCCAGATTTGATTTTTTAAAAGAAAAAGTCAAACATTTCATGCCCTTTTTAGACTTGGTACAACCCACCACTGGTTCCTGCAATAAAAATATGACAACCTTCCCTTAAGCCCACCAAAATTGCCAACATCGGGTTAGGGGGATTTCCTGCTACCAATCTAAATCCAAGGCAGCTGTTCTGGTACTAAATCCATTTTTGATGTTGATAATGGATTGGAGGATGGCAAACAAATGGAAGCTGCCTCTGTGGAAGAAAAGAGGAGGCAGAGGAGGTAGAAGGGATGACAGTGGCGGTGATCTTTGATGGTTATCCAGATGCTGAAGGAAGGATCTATGACAGAGTGGATAGGGAGACCTTCCTCTCTTTTGTGCTAACAGGCGTCTAGGAGAAGGATGTTTTTGGCAGGTCAGTTTGAAAAAGGAAGTACCAGCAGACGTGCAAAACCTAGGAGGTGAACATCACAGCAAATAGGAAACTCAGCTCATATATGGTCTACATGTGCCTATTGTTCTCCACCAGTCCTTTTTTGTCCCTCATGATGATGTACTGTCTACAAAAAATGAATCCCAGGATGAAAAAAGAAACGATATTAGATTTTGGTAGGGGAAAATATAGTAATTGTAATTACTCCCTGTGGCATCCACCCTAAGTTATGCATTATTCATAAGTTGTATGTTAATGTAGTTGTGAGGCGGGGCCAAGGGAGGTCCTGAAGAGGCCGAGCCTGGAAGAGGAGTTCAATCAGAAACAGAGAGGAGAGAAGGAGTTTGGAGGTTGTATGATACGCCAGCTGTATCATAGTTTCAAATGGAGAAAAAAATCCTACAACATTACTGATGCACCCAGAAATTGAAGCCAAGTTAAATATAAGGTGATGCAGATAAACACAATGAAATCCTGTGTTTATAAAGCTCCATCTCTTTGTTGATTAATTATAGCATTGCCAAAATAGCAGTTCTTGGTAACTTACACCATCCTCTTGCAAAAGCACCTGAACTTACATGCAAGGTCATTATGAAATTGATCTATCTCACTCTTTATAATGCTTTATTGTTCCAGCAATTGCCCAACTCTCTCAATCAAAGTGATAGGATACAGTTAAGGTGACTTTGAATTCTCCTTTCAACACCAGTTGTTCTCTGCTATAAATCAAAGAGGCAAAAAAAAAAAAAGACGTACAGTCTAAGAACAAACATGATAAAGGAAACTAACCTCTGTGTTACCCTGAGATGGAGAGAATGGTACCAAAAGACTGTTTTGCTCAGACAGCAAAGGGAGAAAAGAAACGGGGCTCACATTTCTAGTTCCTGAGGTTTCAACAGATTTGTGCCCAAACCTGCTGCTGCTCAAAATGAGGAAGTATTCAGAGATTGCAGAATCTCTCTGCAGTGCTTGAGAAAGCAAGCTGAAAGACATTCTAATGCCTAAAAGGGCTGCAACTGGAAATTTCAGGATCCAGGAACAGAGTGTCAACTACTATCATATATGTGATGGTATATGTGTGGTTATTTTTGTAACGATTACCATATAGAGAGGATCAACCCTCTGATTTATGTTCACGTTGGCACTACATATGGTGGGGGCCAAAATATCTCAGCAGGTTGGCATGGAAAGAAAACCTTGACCAACAGAAAAAAATTCTGTGAATTGCAACTTGATATTGTCACCTTGTGTGAAATATTTGAGAAAGCAAAGAAAAAAAAATAACATTTTATACTTTAGCCATTATGAACCTTTGTATATAAATTCTGAATGTAAATTAAGTGATCCTAAACTATACCTAGGACATGAAAAGCACATTCAGTTTAAGGAGAGGAGTTAGAACAGAAGCGAACATGATGTAAATCTGCTTACACATTTATGGAGTACATATCATACTCTTAAAGAGTCTTGTTCCTATTACCTTTGGTGCGGGACTCATGTCTAAGCCTTGTTTTGGACGATAAACACTAGAGCTCATTTTGGGAAAAGTGGAATCTCCTGCAACAGAAGAAGAGGATGATTTTATTGACTGCTCAAATAACAAGAAATGTAAATCATTTCAGAATGCCAAATTTAAAAAAATGTCATCATCATCATCATCATTGGAGACCCCTTATGTGTAAAGAGAACAAGACAGGTCTTCACAGAATAATCTGCTTATCTAGGAGTACTTAATATTTGTTAATATCCCTACACATAACCTGAAAAATGGTTCTGTTAACAGCAGGAGAGGGCAGGCCTGTAGGATTTGATGGCCATTGTTCTGATTTGCTGGCACCCCCAAAGGTTGCAGTCCTTGAGGATGCAGTCAAACTCAGTGTGACATAGTGACATCTAGTCGGTTTCGTGGCTTCTCTTCACTTCCTATAGTGTTACTTGGGACTAGGTAAAAGCTGGAACAGAATAGAATGCACCAGAATGAATCCTAGATAATAAAAAACGATGCTAGTGAGATGTGATGGACACACACCAGAATAGTAGTTTAGAAATCAAATCTATCAAATCTTACTCTTTCATTAACTCTTTAAGGGCCACGTATGAGCTGGAACAAAAACAGAATGGGCCAGAATGGCAAATTCTGAGTAGGATAAACCAACCAAATTCACAACACATATCTGACTAGATGCAACTTGACTCAGCAACCCACCCAGGAATATTCTTAGCACCCAGGCTGGGCAAAAAATCTATATTATGCAAAGCAGACTGCAAAAGCAACTTATTTATTTATTTACAATATTTATTAGCCGCACCATTACCAGTGGCTTCTGAGTAGGACAGCTTCATGGATTTCACCAGTCCCATCAGATTAAAAAGGACTGATGCAAGAAACGTAAAAACATCCATCCAACCCAAAAAAAGACATTATGTGGCCTGTTCCAGGAGAAAATTGAAATTCTGCAGAACAGCTCAGAACACTAACCTCTATGTTGGATAAACCAGCCAAATTCGTAATTCACATATGATTAAAGGGGATTGATGCAGCCAGCCACAGAACATCCTCAGGAACCACATCCTAGTACTGGTTCTGGGCAGACAAACTATATTGTGCAAAACAGCCTAGAATGGCAACTTCTGAGTAGGGGAACCTGACAAAGTTCCCCTCCCTCCTCAGACTTGTCAGGAGTGATGCAAGACACCAGAAAACAAACCTGAAAAGCAATATTCCAAGATTGGCGGGGGGGGGGCAGAATCATGGAACAGTAACTTCTGAATGGAAAAAGCCACACTCATTCACCAGGGCTCAATTCGAGTTATTTAACAAGCAACAGGTTATTAAATGGAACTACATTCTGGTATCTAACATCTTTATACTATATAGATACTTGACCTGGAACAGGTATGCCTCATGGCTTCTGTAGAGTTTTTATCAGTTGTTGCAGTTTCCTTTTAGTGATGTATGATTGGTAACTATGATTCAGTTGCCCTGCTTAGAAGTTGCTGTTCTAATATACTGTACAAAAAGCATGCTTTTGGCCCAGAAAAAAAGAGAAAGAAAATGTGGAATGACTATGACTAGTTTGTATTTGGTACTAGGATGTTTTCTGGAATACATGATCTTATACAAGAAAGAATACTGCAATGTGGTTCCTCTGAATTTTTGTTACTTGTTGAATCACTGCCACTGAATTTTGTATGAGTGGCAAATGAGGTTGGGTTTTCCTGCTCAGGCATTATCAGTCCAAGCTTTTTTCTCCAGGATATGGATTTTTAGCCTGGAACAGGTACTGAAATGTGATTCTTGGAGATGTTTCTCAGTTTACTGTATCAGTCCCCTCTGGTCACATGTGAGTTGTGAAATTATTTGATTCATTTTACTTGACAGTTCCATTCATAAGTATTTTGCACAATATTGATTTTTCACCCAGAATGGATTTTTAGGTATGGGTCCTGGTTATGTTTTGATGCTTTTTGCATCTGTAGTCTGATGGGATGGATGGATTTTGTTGGGTTGTTCTACTAGGATGTTGCTGTTCAGGGCTGTTTTCTGGAATATGGATTTTCTGCCTGGAACAAGACCTGGAGTGCTGTTCCTGAAGATGGATTGTGGCTTGCTGTATCATTCTTATCTAGTCACACGTTTGTCATGAATTTGGTTGTTTTATCCTGCTCAAATGTTGCCATTCCTGGCTATTCTGTTCTGGCTCATTTGTGGCATTAAAAGAGTTAATGAAACAGTAATATATGATGAGTTTCATATTCTAAAATATTATTCTGATGTGTGTCCATCCAACTCCTTTTGGCATCAGTTTTTACAAACAAATGTTTATTTTGTTCTGTTCTGACTTTTACCTGGTACTGTGCTGGCCAAATGTATTTAGTTGTAAAAGAGAGATGATGCCTTCCAGTTTTGTGCAACACTGTAATTCTTTGGCTTAATAGTCTTAATTAAACAAGGAAGTCTTCCATTTCCATGTTTACTTCCTGGAATAAGACTCCCATATTGATTGGACTTATTGATATGGAAATGCCCAGAAGCATATAAATAGAAAGTGTGTCTGTCAGCCTAGACAGAATGGTAATATAGAAAGATGTTTTTCAAACATGTGTTTGTGTAGTCACTGCATATTTAAAGCTCCCCTAAAATCCGTTCCTGGATTTTGATCTTTTGTTGCTTGTTTTTACCTGGAAAAATAGGCCTTGTTCTCTTCACTCATACCACCTGTTTTCTGTTTTTACCTGCCAGCAATAGACCTCATCATGCTTGTTTCATTCCGACCTTTCAAATCAGTCTGTGACCACTATCAAATGTTTTACAATTTTGTGTTCGTTTCTGGGAAAGAAAGTCTCAACTAGTTGAAGAGAGAGAGAGAGAGAGAGAGTTTCCACAGAAATTATACACACCTGACATTTTCTCAGCAGACATATCTTCTTCTGGACTGTAGCCATTATTCTCATATCCCCTGCCTCCTGTTTTCTCCAAATTTCTATTGGTTTCCCTCTCTGACACATTTCTAAAAAATTAAAACATTGCTTATATTTGCTCCTATGTCATTTGAGATCCATCTGTGAGATGGATCTCTTTCCATTTTTCAGCCGATAAACAGACAGATAATTTAGATACCTTGTTAAGTCCACCAACACCCCTGTCTACTGGGTACTACCAATTATCTATGGTTGTTTTCTGTTTTATACATAATACCACAAGAAATAATCTCCTGTGACTCCCACTCCAAAGTACTGACTGTGACAAAAGGCAAACTGAATATTGTTTCCTTTGCCAAATCTACCACCAAAAGGTGAGTAGGCAGCAAACTGAAACCAGATTCCTCCTTTTAGTGAAAAACCCTAGCATTTCATCATTGGAAGAGATTAGAGGAGTCAGGATTTCTACACTGTAAATAAATGTTACTACACTCCCTTCTTTCAGGTGCCATTGTTGCGAGCTATACAATGATGGCTCGACTTACGAACACCCCTACTTACGACCATTTCGAGTTACAACCGGCCACAAAATTTCACTTTGACTTGAGGCTGGAGCTTTGACTTCCAAACAGAAGCAGCGGTGGTGTCCAAGCACCAGGAGGCTGAGCCTGGCCGGAGTACTCCTTCCGGCCACTCGCCTCCCAGCGGCAGTGGCAGCAGTGGTGTCCAAGCACCAGGAGGCTGAGTTTGGCCAAGGTGCTCCTCGCCACCCTTCGCCATTTGAATTTCCCACCATCAGCCCCATTGGAGCATTCATTCATTCAAAGGAAATAGAACCTCAGCTAAACATTAAAGTCCCTGAAATCTGAGTGCTATGACTCGTTGATTTGTAGACTGCTGCAACTTGAATAAATTGAAACTTTGCTCTTTGTTTCAGAATTTAAAATTAACATCTACTTCTCTTTAATGTACTGTAATATATAGATATATTTTACGAAGTTATAAGCTCTTCTGAGGACATTTGTTGATCTTCCTTCACTATGGAATGAATGACTAATGTCTGAAGAAATAAGTCAGTTTAGATGAAAGAACATAATTAATTTATACTCCCAATACTAAATTTTGAGAATTTTTAAGGTACTGATGCATTTTAAAGACCTGAACATTTTGTCATATAATATCAAATTTTAAATGCCAAGACTTTACTAAATACAGAACATGAAACCAAGCCTGATCCCTTTCTCTAGATCTCATCATTAAGGTTTTCATTGCATGGATAAGAATAAATTGAATATGACAATCAGATAATCAACTGGAATGATTACCTGATAATCTGTGCTAAATTCACTTTCTTTTCTTTGTTGGTAATACAGTAGATGGTTTTCCATTAGAGATAGGGACAAACTGCCAAAATGGTGTTTTGTCTTGGTTCATGCTTCGTCAAGGTTGACAAACCATGAACCATGAATTTCCACTGGGTTTTTCCGATGAACCATGAATCAGTTTGTTGCTTCATCAGGCCTTTTTGGTTTTTTAGGCAGCCCATGACGATCTTTTAAAAAAGCAGAGACCCTCTTCCCACTGTCCCCGTCACCTCCCAATGCTGTCTGCCTCTGATTCCGCTGCTGTCACCTGCACTGCCACCACTGCAGCCTCTGCCAGTGGCCTCCACTGCCACCACCATTTTTGCAAATATGGTGGCTGCAGCTTCCCTTAAGGCAGGCTCTGCTGCCCTAAGGGAAACTGGGTTGCCCTTTGCAAAGATGGAAGCAGCAGCTTCCCTTAGGGCAGCAGAGACTATCCTGTCTGCCTATGGCCTGCCGATCAGCTGTTCGGAGGGCCCATAAGCAGAGAGGGAAGGCTAGGCTGCCCAAATAGAAGTTGGCATTCCGGCAGCCTAGTCTTCCCTCTCTGCTAGAGAGACGGAAGAGAATTCCAGAGAATCC